GAATAGCTTGAACTATTCTTATTTTTATTTTTCCATAATTTTTAAAAATATATTTTTTTTTATTTTTATATAACTTTTACATTTTTAGAATTTTTGTTTTTTCCCCAAAAATTTTAGCCTTTTTTAGACTATTTTAAGAATCTTTTAAATTTTAGAATTTTCCTCTTTTTTTAGGATTTTTATTTTTATTTAAATAATATTTTATTTGATAGCTTATTTTTCTTATTTTGAGTGTTTTTAGAATTTTCATTAAAAATACTCAAAATGTCAAAAATGTGTTTTAATTTTTATGTTATAAGTTTAGCATTGTATTCAAAAATGCATTTTTAGAAATACTAGACCAAATAAGTTTTAGTATTTTACAAAACTAAAAACTGAAACAGTTTGAAAACAGCAAACAAAATGCTTCTCCGCCCTGAAAAATGTGTTTTAAGATTCATGTTACAAGTTTAACATTGTTTTTAAAAATACAGTTTTCAAAAAATGTCAAATCAAAAAATTTTTAGGGCCTGTACAGTAATGATTTGAGAATCAATTTTTTGATAGTTAGAAATAAAAGTAGGTCCCGTCTATGAGTGAAAAAGTAAAATACGACGATTGATTTAGGAAAGTAACGATTAAAAATTTGATTTTTTTGCAGTGAAAAATCATAACCAAACGGGGGCTTACTATGTTGCAAAAATGAAAACTGAAAATAGCAAACAAAATGCTTCTCCACCTAAGCTTTGAAATATATACTGATCATAGGTATCTAAACATTGACCATTAGATATTGATTGTTCTGAATTTTTTAAGTGTGAGTTTTAAAGTAAATTGATTCGATTTGGTCTACGAATAAGACTAAACACTACAGAGGAAGAGTGTGACTACACAGTCTTGCATCGAGGAAACTAAGCATTAGAATAAAGCACTGGGGATAGGTCTCTCAAAGCTGCATGCAATAAGAGCCATAGTAGTGTTGGGAGGATCACAATGTATGATAGAGATAGCGTTGTGATTGTTACCAAACTAGTAATCAATTAGGTATTATACGTTCAACCATAATCGTGAAAATTATCTAAGCCTTGTTTGCCATTCATTTTTACAATTTCTCTTTTTTTTCTCAAATTCATTTTTAACCATACATTCACATCATTAAATATTTTGCACGTAAATATAATTTTTTTCTACTTTTAACCATACATTCTCTAAAAAATTATTATTTCAAAACTCATTTCGAAGCTAATTTTTGTGATTATAAATTGATTATGCAATTATAATGAAAGATCGAATGCTATGTTTTGGAATTGAGATCAATTTGCGAGATAGACAATAGGTTGAATATCAAACCATGTAACTTTCTCAAATTATTAAAGCACCGTGCTCAATCCCATCCCAAAGGGCAATTTCCCATCTCCACATATTTTAATTCCAACCCTCACCCACACATAGACATAGGCGTTGGGTGGATGAATCGGTCCGACTATTTTAATACTTAAAATCCCCCATTATGCTTAGATATTTCGTAAATGGAACCATTTACGTTTGTAATTATTGGAACTAAACATGGTGGTAATACGTACACACACACATATATATATATTAAAACCATGAGCTGAAAATTTTCTTTTTAATATTTATTTTAAAAAATATATAATTTAACAAAATTTCAATCAAATACAATTATGCAAACATGCTACCAAATATTATCATAATAACATCCAATTCCAATTGTGACATTGCGTGCAAATTCTCAAGAAGGGTTCGTAGGGACGAGCGCATAAATTGTAATCAGTATTTACTACGAACAAGAGTGATATGATTCAAGTATTTAAACGAATGAAAATGATTGATTATGGTAATTACTATTTGTTTGGCCATGCGAACTTGTTATCTGTTGGATTAGATCATTAAGTCAATGTGAATAAATTGTAAAATTAAAAAATTAAACAGTGCCAGAGTCAAGTACCCATATTTCCATTTTAAGAATTAAGAACTCATCAAGATTTATAAGCCAGTGAACTTTAAAATACTTCAAGTGGTTACTAAATTTTAACACGTTGCACGTCACTAACCATCACGTTTCACTAGTCACTAAATTTATACATCCATCATGTTTTACTCACCAAATTCTAAAATATTTCCAAATAATCATTGAACTTCGTAATGTTTTCGATTAAAGTTGAACTTTTATAAGATTCGACCTAAATTAAAAAAAAAAATGTTCAAATGGATAATGAGATTCCCAAATTAAGATGAGAATATTGATATAAGTCAAGAAGATATAATTTCTTTAGACGTCAAAAGCTATGTTCAAGGCAAATAGAAAAATGCTAGTTTCAAATTGATATAAATCTTAATTTAGATTATAATATTTCTTTATGTCAAGAAAAAAAAATAGAGAAATCTCTTCATTTCGATTGAGATTGTAGACGATAATCAAGAAAATAAAAAATTATATCCCAACTAGGTAGGGAAATTTTTGATTTAGAATCAAGATCATCAATAAAAATTAACAAACATAAATTTTTAGGGCTCGCAAGGTAATTTAAAAGGAAATAATAACGTTGTCTTCATGTATGTTATTTTATATTTCAAAATTTTCAAAATTTGAACAGTGGAATTCAGTGAGTAAAGTTTTGTGTGACTATCGAAAGCACGTAAAAGTTATTGAGTAAAGCGTGACGAAAGTATAAGTTCAGTGATTAATGAAACGAGTGCAACATGTTAAATTTTAGTGATCATTCAAAAACATTTCAAAAGTTTAGTGCCTAATTGGCTATACTATTTGCAAAATCAAAATCCATTTTTATACTTTTAGTGGATTCTATGTTTGACTTGTAGTGTAAAGGAAGTCAACAATTACGATAGCTAACGGTCCAACTCTTTTCATTAAAATGCCGACATAAATTGCCACCAAGTGCTTACTGATTAATAAATTATGTTGCGCAAGCAATAGAATGTAATATGTTAAAGTTCAATGATCACTCAAATAATATTTTAAAGTTTAGTTAGCTAAATGTGATGGAGAATTAATAATTTGAAGTTTAGTTACTAACTCGCACAAGTCCACAATTCAAAGGGTTAATAGCACAAGACGTCCCTACGTTTGACATTTATTGCAAAAAACGTCCATACGTTTCATTTTTTACATTTTCATCCTTATTGCAATATTTCATTGCTAAAAACATCCTTTTCACAATTTTTGAATGTAAAATGATCAAAATACCCTCCTATTTAAATAAAAATAAAAAAATAAAGAAAAATAAAGAATATATTGTAGTCTTACTCCTAAATGTTTTAAAAAGTGCAAGGTAGTCCAAATAATTATTAAAAGGTCTAATAGCACAAAACGTTCCTACGTTTGGCCTGTAGTGTGCAAAACGTCCCTTCATTTCAAATTGATGAAAATGAAATTTTCCGCAATGAAATGTGAAAATAGGTATGAAAATGCAAAAAAACTTGAAATGTATGGATGTTTTTCGCAAGAAGTATCAAATGTAAGGACATTTTGTGCTATTAGACCTTATTAAAATTGAAACCATTGCCAAACTGTCGAATCTCTATACCATTTCCAAAATACCATCACCAAACTCCGGTGGCACCACCTGTTCCAAAGAGATCCATGTCATTTCCAACACAACAATTGACTATACTCACCAGGACACTTCTCTTCATTGTCTTAAAATATCAACAAGGTGGCAGTCCCATTTGGAAAAGAAGAGACCATGCAGAGAAGCGCCCTGGTGAGTATAGTCAGTTAGTGTGTTGGAAATGACATAGATCTCTTCGGAATCGGTGGTGCTGTCGGAGTTTGGGTGATGGTATTTTGGAAATGGTATGGAGGTTCATCAGTTTGGCAATAGTTTCAATTTCAATAAGGCCAAATAGCACAAAACATCCTTGCATTTAACATTTCTTGCGAAAAACATCTCTATCTTTGACACTTCTTGTGGAGAACGTCCATACGTTTCAATTTCTTTTACATTTTCATCCTTATTTTCACGTTTCATTACGAAAAAGTCATTTTTATCAATTTGAAGTGTATGGACATTTTGCACACTACCGATCAAATATAGGGACGTTTTGTACTATCAGATCTTTTAATAAATTATTTAGACTTATTTACACTTTTTAAAACATTTAGGAGTAAGATTGCAATTTATTCTTTATTATTATTATTTTTTGCTCGTATTTAAATAGGAGGGTATTTTGGTCATTTTACATATACAAATGGTGAAAATGACGTTTTTAGCAATGAAACATTGAAATAAGGATGAAAATGCAAAAAAAAATAAAATGTAAGGATATTTTTTACAGTAAGTGTGAAACATAAGGACTTTTTGTGCTATTAACCCACAATTCAAAACTCATACCTTGCCTTCCGATCCAATTTTTCATTCTTCGCTTCTGCCGAAATCATCACATCTCAACACACAGTTCACACCCAAAGTAAAAGTGTAAAATACACCTTGAAAATTTTCAGGAAACCAGAAAAAAAATTGGGTTCAAGAACAAAATGAAGGATGTGATCAACAAGAGTCTCGCTTGTTTAGTTGTGTTCTTCCTTTTCTTGTGTGTTTCTTTAATATTTACAGGTACCGTTGATTACAAATCAAGATTTCTCTCGTTCTTACCCCAGTTAAATAATTCTACGTTCTGCCGCACTGGATTGCCGCTCCGAGTGTACATGTACGACTTGCCGCGACGGTTCAATGTGGGGATGATTGATGGTTCGCTCTCAGATGAGATTCCGGTGAGGGCAGAGAATTTTCCGGCGTGGAGGGAGAATAATGGGCTCCGGAAGCAGCACAGCGTGGAGTATTGGATGATGGCATCACTTTTGTACAATGGGGATGGGGGAGGTGATTCCGAGTCGAGCCGAGAGGTGGTTCGGGTTATGGATCCGAAGCTTGCTGACGTGTTCTTTGTGCCTTTCTTTGCTTCTCTCAGCTTCAATGTACATGGCCGCAACATGACAGACCCGGATACTGAGATTGACATCAAATTGCAGGTACACTTTTTTTCTTTTTTCTTTTTTTTTTTTTTTGTTTTAATTTTTATTTTAAATTTATTGGTTGAATTGTTCTTTTGAACTCTGTAAATGATTAGTGGTAATGTCAATAGTTGTATGAATTGGCTAACTGATTCACAAGCTAATTAAATTTGATAATTATTAATGGGGAAGAGTTAACTGAGATTTTAACAATTCCCCAATTGATAGTAGGATAAAGGAAAATAGCAAGTGCAAGTTATTGGATATTTTATGTGAAATTGTGAGATACAATAGTGTGACATAATGTGTTACATTGAATTTTACCCATAGTTTATGCATAGTAGCTCTTGAAATGGCGTTGGACCGAAAAACAACTTGATTTTGTTTTCAAATAAAGGCTTAATTTAGCACAATTTACAGTTTGATGTTAATCCTATGAAAGAAGATGTCTATTTATGATTTTCTTGGGGTTATAGATTCATCATGAGTTAGCCCCCTCCTGCCTTTCTTCTCTCAAAGGCGCAGGGACATTCTCTCTGAGCAACTACCCCGAAAACCGCTTTCCTATTGTATCTTTTCTTCTTTTCAGTAACTTTAAGAAGCTATTGGGTTAGTCTCGAGTAAATAAAAATGTCAATGGACCTATTTATTTGCTTCAGGACCATATTATCAGAAGTACTCCTATTTATATGTAAAAATTATCAAATGCATAATTTTCTTAAAAGACTAAAAATTATTACAAGAAAATAAATTAATATCTACTTTCTAAAATTATGCCAACAATAACTGCATAAATGAAGGCTTAACAGGTTTCAATGCAAATTCTTGCCCTCGTGGTGAAAGTCATAGGTATTATCACACCCAAAGTTTTTTGATATCAGGGCTCTACAGTGAAGTTGAGGCCTAATAGATTATGAGCGAGAATATGAAGAAGACATAATAATAAAGGGCCTTGGAAAACAGTCCTAAGTTCCATAAATCTAGACAAGTCATCATCCAAGTTATTATGGAGGGTGGTCGGGTGGTAAGGCTTGGCTTTAATATCAAACTAAGGATGGTAGATCTGGACATAACATTCATGGTACCAACCTCACTGTCCACCAATTTGCAAGAACTATCCTTACAAAATACATCTCATGACACAGGCAAACTTTCCTCATTGTATCAAACCTCAAGATTCTGATCTTTGTAATAGATTCCCATCCCCCCCCCCTCCCTCTCTATAGGCTCAAGGGTAAGGTGATTATCATCTTCCTAGGTTGGGGTATCAAAATGACGTCGATATTTTTGTGAAAATATTTTTTTATGGATACTTAGAAGCTGTACGACATTTAGTATGATAATGGTGAGACAATTTGGAGAGCATGTGTATGGGAAACGGAGGAAGTCCTTACTTTATTATGCTTAACAGTGGCACTGAGGTCCATTCTACTGCGTGCTCTACGAGGAGTAGATCGAGATCCATTTCTTGGCTCAATGAAGGAATTTGGACATGAATACCGAGAATCTACAGGCTTGTAAGGTGAATACCTTACAAGGCAAGAACGAATGTACAAGTTCTAACTTCTAAGGCCTGAATAGGGTTCTTTGCAGGACCATGTTATTTTCGGCTTTCACACCCCACCACTTGTAAATATGGAAATGGTGTCATAAGAAGTTTCATAAAAGTCACCATGGAAACTTTGTTCCTCGAATTGAGCCATATGTTCCTGAGCAATGGAAGTATCTTACACGTGGTTTATAATTGATCGAGCTATTGGTTTATACGATAGGTTGTATGCAGTTCTCTTCTAATTTTAGCTTCATTTCTGCCCACAATGGTGCAAGGGCTGGAGGTCACACATCTAGCATATTCTGGCAGAACTGTTGGAAGGTTCATTAACTGGTTACAATGGTCTCCCATGGAAAATCATGGATAGTTTCCTCACTGTTGGAGGTCGGAGTGAGGAGGTTGTGTAGAGCAGGAGATTCTATGTCCATTGCGTTGAGCAGTATGGACCATTGGCGTCGCATGAACGCATGTTGTTGCTTGAAGGTCGTGTGGATTGATGGTTTCAGAGTGTTGTGATCATCCATTTTCTATATTTGCACCTGCAATAAGAGTGTATTTTTCAATGTAATCTCCCATATTATGAAGACAATCTTTGTTGGGTGGTCATATGTCTTAAATATTTTTTTTGGAGCAAGTAAAATCAAACTTGATAATCTTTTAGTGCAAAAAAAGGATTATGCGATTCCCAACTTACTTAGCTTATAAGATGTGGGATCCGCAGTTGTGTGCATTTTGACCCATACAATTTTTGGGTCCCAATGCTTATAACAAAGTTACTTAGCCCCAGTTTGGTTTAGATAAAAATCAGATATTTAGTGGAGTTTGATAAAAATTGATGGAACTTGTGGTTGAAAAGTCATGGTTCCATAAAATATGTGGTTAAAATTAATTGTTGACTCTGACTTAAATTTTAATCTAACTTTTAAGTGGAATTAAACTGGGGCGCATTTGCCAAACATGCTCATGGTACGGTTAAGAGTCGAGGTCCTCTAGCAAATCTGCAAGAAATCATGTTATTTTTACACCCTTAATTCAAGTGAAAGTAAAAAACCACATATTCATCAAAGCAAACGGAGCAGTTAGCGAAGGCTGAGCATCCAAGTGAAGAGATGTAAAACTATTGGAGAATCTTCTTTTAATATTGCAACATAAATCTATCAATAAATAATATGGTTGCATATAGGTACATGGATGTGTTCAAGGTCGCTTGTTTTGTGTGATGGTATTGTGAAACAAAAAAACATAAGATCAGAGAGCATGTTTAGCTAAGCTTTAAAAATCCTGTTTCTAAAACATGTTTGGAAAACCTACCCTCTTACTTTCAAGTAAAATAAATTGCATTTTTTGAAAGAAGCTTACCTTATCGACAAAATAAGTCTCTTGTTTCCAACCATGACCAATAAAACAGTTATTTTCTTTGATACTTGTATACTAATTTTTTAAGCTTAGCCAAACATGCTGCTCTTTGTCTCCTATTTTTAGGCCCTGATACCTGCCAACCTTTTCCTCTTGACTAATGCAATTGAGGAGTAATTATTTGCTTTCTTCTAAAAAATACCGTTTCACTGGATGTAACTCTAAGTAGATTGTACCAAATGAAATTTATTCTCTCTCAATAGCATTCCTTAAGGTAGTTGTTAAATTACAAAACTAAGGTGGAGGTCGTTTTGCTTTTGTTGAAAGTAACTGTTAACTAGATGGGGTTCTTGGGACCTCATTTTATCCCTTACTATATTTATTAATTATTAGACAAGTTCTGATCACCTTGTTATCATCTCAATCAAGTTAGTCAATTATGAAAAGTTTGTTTGAGATGCAGCAGTTTATCAACTTAAAGGGATTAAACAAAAATAATAATGCTGTAACTTTATCCCCTTCAGTATATTGCTTATTGATGGACTTAATTATTCTGTCTGGTGGTTGGAATTATGAGTCATCTTTCATTTCATTATGGCTTGCGAAATTGATTTTTCATCACATTTTCAGAATTTGATATTCATTACTACTAATTGCAGCATGAAATTGTGGAGATACTAAGAGGATCCGAACACTGGCAGAGGTCAGCTGGACGGGACCATGTAATTCCTATACATCATCCTAATGCTTTCAGAATTCATCGTGATAAATTGAATGCTTCCATATTTATTGTTGCTGATTTTGGTCGCATAATGGGTATTTCTCGTCTTGAAAAAGATGTCGTCGCTCCATATGTACACATGGTAGAATCATATCTCAGTGATAATGATGAGGATCCATATAGGTCTCGTAAAACTCTTCTCTTCTTCCGTGGGAGGACTGTGAGGAAAGAGGTATCATAATGCCAATTGAGCAAAAGTAAACCTTATTTAATTCTTCCTTGTGAGGCAAAATATTCCTGTGACACATTGATCTGGCAGGAGGGACTAGTTCGTGCTAAATTGAAAAGAATATTAGGAAAAAAAGAAGATGTCATATATGAAGAAGGCAGTGCATCAGAAGAAGGATTTAGAACTGTAAGTTTTTGTTGTAAATTTTGCTTGTATTTGTCAGTGAAAAAAATATACGTGAATAAATCAATAAAAAGATTTCTAGGCTGCATTTTTTATTTCAATAATGTGGAAACTGTGCCAATTTTTTTTTATTNTGTGGCAGTTCTATCACAGACTATGGCCGCAGTTTCTTCAATGTACTATTGATATTTTCTTTCGTTTGCTGATTTATGTCAATATCCTTGGCGTCTGTTTTCCTTTGCATTTTTGATGCCATAGATATTTGCATATATCATAGGGCATGTCAGGCTGAGCTTAAGCAAAGTTAATTTTCAATTAACCTTTTGCCAAGAAATAACTTAATTTTTTTCTGAATTTTAATTTAAAAAAAGTTAATTTTCTAAATTTTTATCAAAATAACTAACTTATTTCAACCCTGACCAATGAAAAAATAATTTATTTACTTTCTTGTCTTAGTAATGCATTTTCACAACTGAATCATGTGCTTGAGATCTTGTAACATTTTGCACAAACATTTTCTCGTTAATTCTAGTAGAGTTGCTTATCAATGCTTCCATGAAATCTTCTCTGCGAATAAAATTGATTGTTTTCTTCTCCATCTCATACTTCCCCCTTTTTTCTTAAACTAGTCGACTGAAGGAATGCGTTCATCGAAGTTCTGTTTAAATCCTGCGGGAGACACGCCATCATCTTGCCGCCTGTTTGATGCTATTGTGAGCCACTGTGTTCCTGTCATAGTGAGCGATAAAATCGAGCTGCCCTACGAAAGTGAAATAGACTATAAGGAGTTCTCAGTCTTCTTCTCGGTTAAAGAGGCATTAAAACCGGACTATATGCTCGATCAGTTGAAAGGAATCCCGAAAGAGAAATGGATAAAAATGTGGTCGAGACTTCAGAGCATTTCTCATCACTTTGAATATCAGTACCCTGCGAAAAAGGAAGATGCAGTCAATATGATTTGGCGACAGGTTCGGGAGAAACTTCCTGCCTTAAATCTTGCTGTACATAGGAGCAGGAGGCTGAAAGTGCCAGATTGGTGGAGGAGGAGATAAGTTTTTTGACTCCTGCTTCCGTAATTTTATACATTCATGTCGTGTTAGACGAAGAAAAAGAAGCTAGTCATTCTTTGCAGCAGCCCGGGTTTAAACACAATAAGTGAATAGAGAGAGAGAGGGTAACTACAAGAAAGATGTGGGAGTAGAAATATGTTGTGTAAAGTGAATAGTTATAACTTGTATATTCGATGAGATTCTCCTACTTTCTTTCTTTGCATAGAGAGAACACACGAGATTTGATCCCATCAAATCTAAACAATCTTATTTTTCTTTGAACATGACGAAGAGATAAAGGATGTTAGAGCCCTGACTCTTCCGGCTACTGTACCGTGAACTATTTCTTAACTCTAAATTGTTGCTTTTGGAATGAAGAGTATCAATTTCCATTTGTAACTCATTCATGGTTAAGTAGTGATCTTCAAGTTTCACAACACTTGAGACTTTTGCGTTTATTATGCTCTGCAGAAAAGAATATCTGATATAATAATATATTTAAAGGAGAAATTGCTGTCCGAGTCTCCAACTTTAAACCCTTTTGCAATTGAGTCCAAAATATTTATTTCGTTATTTTCGTGGCAAAGCATCCTTGTGGATTTGGAATCAGTTAAAAAGGACACTGCTATGGAGGTTGATTGCCCTGAAGTTAAAAATAAAAAATAAAAAATCCACATGTATAAAAAATAATATATTTTTTTAGTCAAAATGAGGCTGAAACAAGGACTTAATTATAAATCATAAAACCTAATTGAATATTTTTCAATGTTAATTTTTTCGAAAACTGAAAAGTGAGAAAAATTATGAATCTCGTGGTACGTCGTCGTAATTTACTGGGCCTATGGTGCAACGTGTCATTATTACATGGCTTTAGAGACAATGAGGCAGGCAATTGAGCAAACAGCGTGTATGATGTAATATGATTTGGTCGGGTTTAGGGAGCCAGAAGCCCATGTGGAGACTGTCTGTGGACTACTTGTCTTCCTTCACTGACAAAAATTTCATCCATGTTTTGCTTCATCAAAATATCCATTGTATCCTCCCTTGCCTGTTTGACAACCATTAGGTTATGTTTGATTGCACCTCAATTCCATGAAAAATGGAAATCAAATTTCATCTTTTCCAATTTTTTATTGTTTGATTGGCAAAATTTTTTCTAGAATTCGAATTCCACCTTTCATGCCATCTAAGCTAATTTTTATGTTTTCGTTGAATTCCAATTCTCATCAAAATGGTGAGAATTGGAATTCTCGGTTACTGTATCATTTTTTTTCGATTTTTTTTTTTGTTAGCAATGGAAATAAATTCTAAAAATTATTGTAAAGAAATATTTTTCTTCAAATGATAATTTTAATGTAAAACAAAGTCAAATAAACACCAAAAGATAGATGATTTTCTTAATTTTTGTTTGTGTTGACAATGGAAATAAATTTCATCCCCAATACCAGTAAAATCTATCCCTTTAATTGATAAATTTCATGTAAAACAAAGCCAAACGGAGATCAAAAAATGCTTTTATTTCAACATTTTCCACATGAAAAATTATTTCAATCAAACACAATAATTTACAATTCTCAGGAAAATAATTTTCAGATAATTCAATTCCCCGAAATTCGTTTTCAATTCAATTCAATTCTATTTTTGCAATCAAACGGACCCTTATTGTAGAAAAAATGAGTTTTAAATATTCATCTTTAGGAGAATTTATGGTTTAAAAGTTGAAAAAATAAATTTTGGTATAAGTGTAAAATATTTTATCGTGTGAATGTATGGTTAAAAATGATTCTGCAGCAAATCATAAAATAAATTAATAATTATCAAACATGCCCATAATCTATTGAATAATGGCTTACTCAAGTTATATTCTATTTTTAGCAACTTTAATAATTTGTCCCACGATTTAATTTCTTTTATACTATGTTACGAACAGGACGTTCAGCCAAAAACAGTTAGCCCTTAAACCAAAAATGTCTATAAAACAATTGTTGATTTGTATTTAGATCAAAATAACGAATTTGAACTGAGATATAATGTTATCTCGACTTTAAATTATCTTTATTTTATTAAGCGTGGTATAGAAAAATAAATAAGTGAATTTATATTTTTAGATTTTGTACATCACCAAATTATTAATTTTGGAAATGTATATTCAAAATTAATATAGATAACAATAGATTAACTTGTTTAATCATGTCGAACTTAAAAAACATGTTTAGAGAAGTAGTTAAAGTAACAATTTCTTAGTACCACGAGTGACCTATTCTAGTATATTTTTGCAACAACCTTGTAAAACAAGCTAAGGATCGATATAATCAACATTAACATCGTGAAAATTAAGGTGCATTAATCGCGATTAAGTAAATCTAATTGGAGCCAAGTATACGATAAAAGCATCTCCAAAAAAATTTTTTAAACATAAGATTCTCTTTATTTTAAATAGTCAACCCTTTAACTTTATACTCTAAAAGAATTTCTAAATTAATATTTTATTTATAAAATAAATTTGACTCTCCAAATTTAGAACACTAAATACATTCTCAATAATTAAATATTTTCAAAGTATTTCAATATTCAATTAAGAAAAATATTATAATAATTTGGAAGAAAGTTGGTAAAATAAAGATAGGAAAAATAATAAATATGTTTTGAAATTAATAAAATTAATGTTAAATATAAAAAATCTATTGAAATGCTTAAAGAATTTTACTATCTGAGTTTATAAATGCTCTTTAAGAATATGAATTTTAAGGCAGTCCCATTATTTCCTTATCAAGTCATCATATTTGACTTAGTATCACTTCATTTTGTGTGGAGCTCATAACGATTATATTTTTCATTCTCATTTTTACAATAACGTGGTTGAAACAGGGGATAAATAAGCGAAATTGAATGAAGTGTAGGGTCATTTTCGTCCTCTGATGGAATATTCACTTCATCACTAAAGAAAGACGGGCACTACAAAGAAGGGAAGAACCGCGAACAGACAAAACGACAACGTAACAGTACCCACCTATTTCTCTCTTTCTATCTCTACATACACTACATACACACGAACGAACAATCTAGGGCAAACGATTATTGAGAAATAAATCATTTCTTAGTGTTGAAATGAGTCCAGAGAGGATTCAAGGGAGCTGTGTTGCTATTCGTGCGTTCAGTCCTTCATCGTCTTTTTCCAAATGCAGTCATTCTAATTCTGTTTCGTCAGGTATCCATTAATAATATACTCTTAAAATCTATATATTTTTCTCTGTGAATAGCATTTTTGTATAAAGATAGTAAATGAAATGGTAGTGTCCGTGATCTGTGAGGCTCTTGTTTTGATCTAATTTAAACATTGAGTGTGTGACTAAGATATTAAAAAAATGATCGGTGAGGCTTTTGATTTGTGCAAATGCTCGAGGTTTGAGTTTAAGGCCTGTTGGTTGATCAGATAGTTGAATGGTCTTTGATTGATTAATTAAATTTTTTTTCAGTGGTATGGTTTATTTGTTTATTAACTTTATTAGTTGATTTGCAATGGCCAAGTGTTAATTTTTTTTCTTACTGATTTCATTGTTATGCTTCATTTGAGCAATTCTAGATTGATCCTGATATCGATTTTAGATTACAAACAGTATATTTTAGAGCCTGACTCTTTTATCTCTCTTGCGAGTTACAATACTGCAGCATGCCTTCAATGATGGTAAGGTGTGCAAATGTTCAATTCCTGCTTGGCCTTGAAACGTGATTGAAGTTATGCTTTGTTTGGATTTGTTTATAGCCATAGATAACCTTTGATATTTCCAATGATGACGAACTAAAAAATATATAGCCAAAATACTCCCAAGTATCTAATATAAATTTCTGTTGTCATGTTGCGGGAATAGATTGGAGCTGAGGAATCTATAAAAGTACAAATACTGCGAAGTACTTGACTTTTCGATTAAATTTGATATCGCCCAAAGGCATGAGAGGAGAAGACAGGATAATGTTTGTCCAGATACACGAGAGAGTTGAATTCTTCTCTAGCAGAATGTATATTAGGTTTATATGTTACTGCCTTCAATAAATAAATCTGTTTCAGCAATGGTGAATTCCATAGGACTCTCATAGATAACTGGTTCCTGCATTAATTCCCTTCAATCCACTACTTAGGTTCGTCTATCTGTTGCACTGTGTACATGTTGTGGATAAATGTGTTATTGTTGTGGTGCTAGTTATTTATGGACAGATACTTGACATTCTCCATTAAGAATGAAAGTTCACTGGTTCGAGTGCAGATGATGCAACCTGTGGTAAACCATTGTGGATGGGAAAAGGCCTCACTTGTGTTTGCTTCAATCGAAAGGGAAGCTTTGCACGAATTTGCATCCATTTGACACCCCTACAGGCAATGATTTCCATTCATTACGAATAAGGGAATATTAATCATAGCATGTCATATTTTTCAACCATTGGGGCCTGCAGGAAAATGGATCATTGGAAATGTTTGATGGGTAATGGTTAAAGGACCACAATATATCAGTAAACCACTTTGTTTAAATTATGACTAGTTAGAGTCTAATAATTTTTTTATATATAACTTTCCATAAACCCACACACTTGTACATCTCCTTATTTTTGTGGGGTTGAGAATCATGGACCTAACAGCCTTTGACAGTTCAATGTCGATAATATTTTCTTTTATTATTTGGTTAAATTCCTTAAGATGATTTTTTTATTTGACATAAATATTTCTTAAATTTGGCAGGAAGAGAGACTTAGAAGGTTGAGACACAGAACAAATGTATACTTCGATGCATCCAGACCAGACCATCAGGCGTGTATTACATTCTCAAATCAGTGTTATTATCTCCCATTATTTGATAAAATCTGTAACATAGCTGTGGCTTTATAGTCATTACCAGTATTTTGTTTGCAAGTGATGGATTCAACTTGAATCCACAAGAGAAGGGATAGCAGAGCCTTTCCTTTTTGTAATTTTTAACCGCGTCTGAGAATTCACGGAATATTGAGACTTCTTATTGTCATCTAATCAAATTTGCATAATTGCAGGAAGCTTTGAGGGCACTATGGTCTGCTACATACCCTGGTCAGGAGCTGCAAAGTTTGATATCTGATCAGTGGAAAGAAATGGGATGGCAAGGAAGAGATCCATCGACAGACTTCAGGTTTTTTTTTTCTCTTCCCTTTGGTCTTTATCATATATAATTCTTCATCTGTTCTTTCCCTCGTTCAATTTCTCTAGTCACACTTGTCATTGCAATTTTGGTATGCAGAGGAGCTGGGTTCATTTCTTTAGAGAACTTACTGTTTTTTGCCAAGACATTCTGTGTAAGATTCAACTCTCACTTTTCTAAGTTATAGGCTTATGACTTGCATAGGATACTTGTATTGTTTTGTTATTTCTTTTCTGTTATGTTTAGAGGGAAGGGTGTCTGGGTTCGCCATTTGGCTTCAGTTTTTGACAAATTGCTCTTGGAAACATACTGTGTGTAAAGACTGTGTCCTGCTGGAAAATTTTGAAATATGGTCACCATCTTTTTTTGGATTAACCAGTAATAAAATGTATTCATCACTTTTAGAAAACATTTTGGGTCAAAATAATTTCTTTGTTCCATGCCACAGACATCCTTTCAAAGTCTATTGAAGAAGCAAGCAGGCAAAAGAGCTGTTTGGGAATATCCATTTGCTGTCGCTGGTGTAAATATCACGTTCATGATCATGCAGATGCTTGATCTAGATGCCAGTAAGGGGATAAATACATTGAAAATTACATAAATCTCTAGACTCTAGGCAACTGGCTAATGTGCGATCAACTATCTGCAGCAAAACCCAGAAAATTTATTAGATCTGTTTTTCTACAGATGTTGTCTGGTAAAAACGATATCACTTTCATGATATGTACATTGATTTTCCTTTTAATGCTTCAAAAATAAAAATCTTGATGCATTTGCAGAGAACGAGTGGGCTTTTGACTTGCTATATTGTGTGGCTTTCGTGATAATGGATAAACTGTGGCTGGAGAAAAATGCAACTTACATGGAGTTCAATGTAAGCAATCTTGTTTGCTCTCCTAATCTTCATGTAGTTAAGTCCACTCGTTGAGATTGTAAATCGTTGGAGTAAATCTTTTACCATTTTTACCAATTTTCTCTGTTTAGGACGGTGGACTGTAGGTCCTTAAATTGATACTTTCATAATTTCAATCCACATTCTCATTTTAATGTGATTTCTAACTTATATGATTCTTTTCTTTTCTCCCAAATATATGTACCTCAGGAGATTCTGAAATTGGCAAGATCTCAGCTGGAGAAAGAACTTCTGATGGAAGATGTATTGCGAATTGAGGACATGCCTTCCTATACCCTTCTTTGTTAATGTAAACTGACCTAAAATCAACACTATACACAATACGACAGACAATAATTTAACTTCTTGCCTGTATTTAGGGTGTGTTTGAGCCCCTTTAATTTTGAAAAATGTATTATGGAATAGTAGATTAATGGAAAATGCGTGGTTAAAAAAGAAGGAAAAGTTTTTTGCTTGCATGTGATATTATTTTAATGAAGAATGTGTGGTTAAAAATCAGTACTATATAAAAATTAATGTGGTAGAACGTAAAATAATGGGTGATGAACAGGGGCTTAATCCTATTAGTGCCTTCGTGTTCCACGTACCAAACAGCTTGAAAAATTGAAATATGAATTTTTTTATTAGCTAATACCATTTCTGTTTAGCATTTCCTCTGATTTTCTCCTTGGGCGATAAACAAGCTAATGAATGTTTATCCGATTTGTTTTGATGTTATGTTCAATGGTCTCGTAGCCATACTCAAATTTGTTAAATGCTTGAGAATACTAAGCGCCTGTTTGATGACTATTATAAAATACAAATTCATACAATAAAATATTTTGCATATAAATCGAAAATTTGCCTTATTTTTTAATTATGCATTGTTCAAAATATCACTATTCAAAATTTCATTTTACCCAAATAATAGTTGTCAAGCAGGAGCTAAGTAAAGACTTATTTAAAATTTACCGAATATCTTTAAGATCAAGGGAGACGGGACATTTTCAAATTGCTGTTATGATGTTGATTGTATTGAGCTCATGTTTTACGTTCTGATTTTATCTATGATTATGAGAAGATAGTCCCTGTTTGGTTTAGGTAGAATATAGATTTTAGTATATTTTGACGAAATGTGAGGTGAAGGTGTATTCCTAAATTGCTATTTTCTAAATGGGTTGAAGGACTTCATTGAGACTTGGGATTTCATCAAAATTGTTTACTTATGAAGTAGTTTATTTCATACTCTGTTGGAATTATTTGTGTGGTGATTATGAACCTTAGATGAATAGAGGTATTTCAAAATTGTTTGTGAAGTATTGCCTGCTATATCTATTCTATACGGTTGTCACAACAAAGTTATAGATATCAACCTTGATTATTGCATGTTTAAATTGATAATCGCGTACATAAAGTCTGACTTGACACAATAGTCAGATCATGGCAAGACTTAGATGGCCCTTGTTTGAACCCTATTTATCAAAATACATTTTTCAACAGTAATTTGATTTTATTTTAACCACACATTTTTTAATAAAATAATAGTGTAAATTCAAATTCTTTTTTTATTTTTACCCACACATTTTTTATCATAACACTATTTTAAAATATATTTTTAAAAATGATCGGGCTCAAACAACCCCATTATTACGTGTGTTTAAGTTAACAATTGCATAAGCAAATTGCATTTTGCTCACAATCAAATCATGGTAAGACTATTTTATATATATCATATAAAATCTATAAAGGATAAATTTATAAATATTTGGTTTGAAAATTTTAAGAAAAGGTGGCCAAGATAGGTGGCCAAGATCTCGTTGTAGAATTTTTTAGGTGAAATTCTCTTTGACATCAACAAATACTAAAATGATACGTAAATAAAAAGGTTATTAGCACAAAACGTTCCTACCTTTCAACGTTTTTGTGGAAAACGTCGATACTTTTCGTTTTTTGACGGACTACATCCTCATCTTTATCTTTTTTTGCGCAAAACGTCCTTCTATCAATTATCCGATAAAATGCTCCGTTAAATCAAAGGGTAATTATCACAAAAGGTCTCTACCTTTCAATATTATTGTGCAAAACGTCCCTACTTTTTATTTTTTGGTATAATTAGTACAAAATGTTCATACTTTTCAATATTATTGTGAAAAATGTCCATACATTTCATTTTTTAGCATTTTTACCCTTACTTTTCACCTTTTATTGCGCAAAAGGTCATTTTCATCCTTTTTTTTCAATAAAATGACGATTTTACCCTCATATTCAAATAAAACAAAAAGAAAAATAATTAATTAATTGCAATCATAGTCCTAATTCTTTCAAAACATTACAGATAAATCCTAAATTCTCCACTACCGCCACATTTACAACCCCACCAAGCCACCACCTATATATCCATATAGCACCACCTTTCGGCTATAACATTTATCGGACTCCATCATCACCAGTCTCGCCTCACTCTCCCCAATATCCTCCTCCATAGTATTTGGTCACTAATCCATCCGAACGGTGGTGGAGTTCGGTGGGCATGGTGACCGAAAGGTGGTGTTATGTAGATCTATAGTTGGCAGCTTGATAGGTTGTGAAAGTGGTGGTGGTTGAGAATTTATAATTTATTTTGTATTTTTTTAAAAAATTTAAGGACTATGGTTACAGTTGGTAATTCATCTTTTCTTTTTGTTTGATTTGAATATGAGAGTAAAATTGTCATTTTATTAAAAAAATGAATTAAAATGACCTTTTGCGCAATGAAAATTGAAAGGTAGGAGTAAAAATGCTAAAAAATGAAAGATATGGACGTTTTACACAATAACATTGAAAGATAGGGACACAAAATGCCAAAAAATGAAAAGTAGGGATATTTTGCACAATATTATTGAAAGGTAAAGACTAATTACCTTTTGATTTAACAGAGCATTTTAACGGGGAGTTGACAGAATGACGTTTTGCGCAAAAAAAAAAAGTAAATGTGAGGTGTAATCCACCAAAAAAAAGAAAAGTAAAGACATTTTCCACAAAAAACATCGAAAGATAGGGACGTTTTGTGATAATTATCCGAAACAAAAAATAGCCATTGATAATAAATTGAAAAAGAAAAAACTGAAAAAAGAAAAGGAAAACGTCTGAAAGCTTCAAGGACGCGTAGAAATACATATATAAATATAGGTACCCGCAGCGAAAAAAAAATCGATTATCCCCGTAGCTGAAACGTTTTGCTTCTCTGAAATTATAAATCAATGTGAGTTTCTTATCATAATATTGCAAGCAGTTATAATTCAAAGTTAATTTCATTATAATTTCTGTTTTTACCTAATAAATTTTTTATTTTTGGGGGCTTCGTAAAAGGAGGGCGTCAATCAAACGCCCACCGACTCCAGATGCAGAAGACGAGCGTGATCGCGAGCCTACCATTCAGGAAATCATCAATATCAAGGTATATTTTTAGTTAGGTTTAGTCTCTATGGATTTGTTTAACCATCTTCTTTAATTATTTCTATTTTCAAATTATTATTAACTATTTTTTTGCTTTCAATGTGGAAAAGTATTACCATCTTTTTCAGTACATTTAATTGAGAAGCGTGTTAATTATCAATATCAAAGTGATTATTTATTTTTTATTTTTTGTATGTATGTAACTGTTATTGCCTTTAATTTTTAATTTAGAGAAGCACTAGTTCTTGGAGCACTAGTGGTATGAACTGATTAATGATATGGTTGCTTATGTAGCTGATAGAGAGTGGTGAAAAAGAACGGTTGAAGGAGCTTTTGAGGGAAAGACTTATCGAATGCGGTTGGAGAGATGAAATGAAAGCTCTATGCAGGTTTTTGTTTAATTATTGTTGAATCGGCCCATGAGTCAGGCATTTAATAACATTGTTGGTTTAAGGTTATTGGAAGGAGCATTTAGGTTTGATTTCTTCAAAATATTATATTCAATTAAAGGTTTATACAGAACTTATTTAATTGATCCTAGTGAACTCATCCATGTTGGGAATTTTGATGAAAGCTCAAGGAATTTGTGATTAATTGACTTAAAATGAATTAAGGCAATATATAGTTAATACCAATGTATGGACTGGAGATAATTTACTGGAGAATTCGATTGCTCAAATACATAACTTATCGTTCTTTTAATTTCAATATGCACGCTTGTGATTAGCCTCGTTTGTCTCTCATTCTTTTAAAACTCTTTTTTCTACCCACACATTTTCAATCACGTTCACACAATAAAATATTTTATACGTAAATCCAAAACTTTCCCCTACTTTTTAACCATGCATTCTCCAAAAAAATCACTATTTAAAATAATATTTTTCCACATAAAGGCACCAAACACAGGCTAAGCATTAAGGAAAAAAAATTGGAGTTTTTTTATGAGTCAGAGAAGGTACTGTGTCAATGTAGGAACGACTTATAATGAATCTTATTTGGTCAGCGTGCACTATGTGTTTTTCTCTCCACTTTTATGGGGTCTAGTTCTCAAAAGATTTGCTTGACTTTCTCCAAGCTCATAATGCCTTGATTACTTGGAAAACCTGTCTGTAATTTTTCACAAGGGCACATGCAAGGAAGAAGGGAAGGAATAATGTAACAGTGGATGACCTTGTTCATGTCATTACCCCGAAGGGAAGAGGTAGGCTTGTTCAGTTAGTTGTGCATTCATCATACACTAATTGATCTATTATTAAAATTTCTCGATTTTATATAGATTTGATTTTTCTAAACAGTATGTGTTGTTGCATCCTCTCTTCTTTTTTGACAGTTTTCTATGTTGAGACAGGTTGCTTATAAATAGTATTTCATCCTTTTGTTATCTGTATTCATGGACATGCTCTTGTATATTTTATAGGAAAAAGTAAAATTGGATTAAGTTGATTTTTACATTGTCAAGTGATATCAGGGGGCTTTTTCCACGTGAGCATTAAATGGTTGTTTACATAGGACTGTGTCTTTTGGGTCAGAACAACCACCTTATGCCAGTTAAAGTAATCAACTCTATTGCTATGTCGTATAGATTTAAATGATTTAAGCTTTTGGCTGTGAGAACAGAAGAAGAATGCTTTTATAAGCATTATTTATGGTGTGTAAACAATATACTCACTTGATTTGTCACTTGTCATTCACCCTTTTAGATAGTTAATGGGGCTTAACCCTTTTCTAAAATATTTTGGTTTTTTAATTTCTAATAGTGATTTCCAATAATTGTTTTTCTTTAATCAGAAAATAATTTTCTTAATGTACATCAGAAATCATATATACTATGACATCCCACAACAATTGTAGATCAATTTTCTTGTTGTTAAAGGTGGTCAAGGAGGAACTGGGTGGGTGGGTTGAGAAGTGGTGACTATTGAAAGAGGTGCTGCTTTTGCACTGGCCACAGAGGCTTTCAAAAGTATGCATCTCGACTACATTGCACATCATCAGTTGCCACCTACTAATGATGTGCACATCTAATTAAAACTTTGGATGAAGAATCTAAAAGAGTTGCCTCGCATAATTAGTGATCATTTTATGGCTAAAATTGTAGAAGATTCCTTTCTTTCAGTATCACGCACAATCTAATGCTACGTTCACTCTAATTGTTTTCATAACACCTAAGACATAAATTTGATTATTAACCCATCATTTCATGACATGTCAGATGACTAGGCTGCTTACATTACATAATTATGCTTCTGCGGAAATCTTGGATAAGGATGCTGTATATTTATGCGCTTGTATTTTCACTCTAATTTTTGAAAAATTGAGGAATCTAAAATTTTAGATTCTTGACGAAGAATTGTGTAACCTTCTAAGTTTTGTCTTTTGTAAGTATTTATATTGTCATTAGTTAATTAATCTTATAGTTGTTATGGTTCCCATTGTAATGTATGGGACTTGAATCCCACGTTGAAAGCATGGGCTTTCAAGGTGTGGTTTATATAGACTTGGGTTCTCCAACTTCAATAGTTAGCTTTTGAGGTATGGTTCACCCAAGATATATGTCAAAAGTCCAGCTTCATAATCTACAGTGTCAAGTCAATGATTAGTTGGTATATAATAATAGTGTGAGAACAATTTTAAATATTCTTCCCTGTGATGACTTGAGTCCTTGGATTCCACTGCTTGGATTTTATCCCTTTTTTTTTCCATGCTGATAATGATGTAATAAGATAAAAATTTCGACAACAAACAATCAAAGAAGAAAAAGAGCGAGAACAAAAAAGGGGGTTTCAAGAAGAAGAATTTAGGGCAAGAGAAAATCAATTTATTTCATATATTTTAGGGTATCAATTACATTGAATTAGCCCTCTTTATATATAGAGCAAAGAAGTTAAAATCAAAAGAATATCTAATAACCTGGAACTTTATTGAATGGATAAAACATTCTAATTTAAACTAACATAATTTGAATTGAGCTCTATTCTATCATTCTATCTAAAATTCTAAATTCTATCTCTATCTCCATCAGATAATCTTTGTAACGTTTTGCTTAGAACTTACTTCATAATGAAATAAGCATTACTCTGTTTATGCAGCTTCTGTTCCTGACACGGTGAAAGCAGAACTGCTGCAGCGAATTCGTTCGTTTCTTTCATCAACTGCTCTTTGATGTTATAGAGAACTTCTAGCATACGGCAGTGGATGATAAAAGAGAATACCACAACACCATTATTAGCAAAGATGTTATGCTCTGCCTTGAAAGTTTGTTACTTTTCATGGATGCTTCGCTCGGTAGGCATTACACCTGGAAATTTTATGTTGCATCAAGGGATCTCTTTCTTTTATTTTGTTTACTAGCCCAAAGAAATGGACTGAGGTTACTTCTATGATCTATTCCTATTCAAACAGCCTGTAATATTTTGTGGTGATATTGGGATTATTGATTGTATTGGATAATTGACATCTTATATTACTTTGTTCATGTCTTTAATTTCTCTTTGTATGTGTGTGCATGCACGGATGATCATTCATTACTCGATGAACTGTTTATATATACAGTGTTGTCTTTAGACGGAGTTAAGTGCCATAACTGTAGATCTTGCATCTTCAATAATGCTCGTAAGGGGACGTCTCAGTGTGTATAGTGTATTTGGTAGGCTATCATCCATGGGATGAAAGAGCTTCGGGGCAATTGTAGACAAAGTGTAGGGGAAGAGACCTCCTTTTTTTGTCGGGATTATCGATGGGAAGATTTGCCTTCATGGTGGAGTTAATTAGGGTACAAATGTCCTCCATTGATTGGTTGGCTGGTCGTGTCAAATGGAAAAAAGGCGTATCTAGCTGTCCTTAGGGCTTGTTCTGCTAGACCCGTCCATATGAGAACTTATTCCACCATACCTAAAAGAATTCCATTGCCAATGGCTATGTTTTGTAATAGTGGCCTCGAAGGTGGATCTATAAAAAATAAGAAATCCTATTAAAACTCAGTCGTGCTTGGTTTGAAGTTAAAATATATATGTAGATAGATAGTTTTCCCTCCAGTCATTTTTTTTACAATTAAGCATGTTTCAATCATGATGTATACTTCGGAATGTACAAATGGCATTTTTCATTAAGAGCATGTTTGTCTCCCATTATGGGAGAAATTATAAAGTTTTGAATATTATTTTTTAGAGAATGTGTGGTTAAAATTTAAATAAATATTATCGATTTGTGTGTAGAATATTTTATTGTGTAAATGTATGGTGGAGAATGTTATTGTAGCAAACAATTTAATTTGTTAAAGGATTACAAACAGGGGCTAAGACTAAGGAATATAGGCTTGTCTATCATTTACATCAGAATAAATGTTTTTTTTCGAAAAAACATATTAATGGAGGTAGACCAAGTGGAGGAGCTATGCACAAAGGTTTGTACCATGGGATGGAGACGTTAGGGGTAACAAAAAAATTCGTCATATTCAATACTCGCAGGACTTTGCCTCGAATGGGGGACGAGGATAACTCGCTTAATCGGGACGGGCGCGGGGGATTTTCATCTCGAGACAGGTACGGGTAATGGGGGCTCGTCCCGTCTCTCCCTTTTTTTTTTCTTTTTTTTTTAAGAATTCAATATTTTAAAGATTCATAAAAGTCCATTAATTCTAATAAAAAATAGCAACTAAGATTATTTAGAGAATATGATAAACAATAAAATTTTAGCTTATCAAATATATTTGAACAATTTAACTTTTAAAAATAAATAAATAAATTTAAAAATTTTATAATTATATTATTATCTCACTTTAATAAATGTGGACAATAAAATGAATTATCAAAAATAAAAATTAAAAAAATAAACGAGTATGTAAAGGGAGCAAACGTCTTGCCTCGTTTTAAACAAGTAACAGGGTAGGAAAATGCTCAGTTGCCCCAAATCCGTCCCATTGTCATCCCTAAGAGAAGGCATCAACAACAGGAAAGCATTTGAACTTGGTCTTTCGTTGATCCCAAAAAAGCTCAATGGCTCAAATAGGCTTGGAAGCAAGAGAAAAAAAACTAGATGTGAGACACGCTCGAACTCATTGACTACATTCTATACATCTATTATAAATTTTTACTGAATATGACATTAAATCTATGCATTTTTTTTTTTTTGGTAATAACTTTTTAATCTAGTAAACTTATAGATGAATCATATATTTAGATATCAGACGAATCAATCTACCTGCGGATTGATTTATAAGATAGTGCCTTTGAATTGAAGAATGATATAAAATCAATCTATTTTTGATATCATATTCATAGTTAGTGCATTCGTCGTAGTTAGCAATTTTATGTATCAAGGTCACGATCGATATCATTACTAGCATCAAATATCGTCATTATCATCAATATTAACTGGAATCAAAGAATTAGTAAATCTGTTTCGACCAAATGGAAATGAGCTATGATTATGATATATGATGATCGAGTCAATTATATGATTATAAGTTCATTCCATAATGTAGCAGTAATGGACCACCTTTAGCTTAAATAAGAATATAACAAATAGATGAATCATATATTTAGATATCAGACGAATCAATCTACCTGCGGATTGATTTATAAGATAGTGCCTTTGAATTGAAGAATGATATAATATCAATCTATTTTTGATATCATATTCATAGTTAGTGCATTCGTCGTAGTTAGCAATTTTATGTATCAAGGTCACGATCGATATCATTACTAGCATCAAATATTGTCATTATCATCAATATTAACTGGAATCAAAGAATTAATAAATCTGTTTCGACCAAATGGAAATGAGCTATGATTATGATATATGATGATCGAGTCAATTATATGATTATAAGTTCATTCCATAATGTAGCAGTAATGGACCACCTTTAGCTTAAATAAGAATATAACAAATAGCTAGTATAAAAAAGTAAGAATAATGCTACAAGTACAGAAAAATCTAAAAAAAAAAAAATTTAGGGAATTCCACGTGACACAAATCCATCGGCAAATAACAAAAAAACAAAAAAAAAACTATCTCCATTGAAACTTGAAAGAATCCCTGCATTTAGAGGAAGAATGATTTCACGTTATTATTTTGAATCCAGGTCCAATTTCCCCCCCTAACATATATTTGACATATTTTTATTTATTTTGAATTGGTGGTATGCAAATTTAATTATATATTGTTGTTAAAATAAAATATAATTGTTTATATATATTTATTTTTCTTCTTCAATTTGATACAGGTTCGAACCCAATTATGCCGAGGTAATATTGTGTGTACATTCTCACACAGTCCACATCCTTCAACTTCACAAACACTTGGCAATAGATTTCTTATATGGATAATATCTCTGATAATTTCTTGTCTTTAAACATCATCCTTCAACTTCACAAACACTTGGCAATAGATTAATTACATGGATAATATATCTGATAATTTCTCGTCTTTAAACATCTCGCGTGAGTTGGTTAGAGCTTTCATTTCTAAATCGAAAGTATTGGGATTGAATCTCTATGAAAGAAATTTTTTGTGCAATTGTTTTAATTCAGCATTTTTTACGAAACCAAGCAATTGTGAGGACTCGAACCTTTGTGCTCTCGTTTAGATTACGGAAAGTTTGACCATTATGGCACTTGATGAAATTTGACATTAAAGTGGTGTTTTCAATTGGGACTTTTGAAGACTTTGATGGATTTTTATGGATTTCGTGGATCTTTTATAGATTTGTATGGAATTAGTGAAAATATTTCGTAGATTTCTATGGATTTTCATTTTAAAATTTTTATAGACTTTTTTGAAATTTAGGGGGGTGTATTTAATCGAGACTTTTAAAGACTTTTAGAGATTTAAAAAGTTTGGGTGTATTCAATTGAAACATTTAGAGATTCTCTAAAAGTTTGGGTGTATTCAATAGAGACTTTTATAGATTTTTAAAAAGTCTCCAGAAGTTACGGGGTATTCAATTGAAACTTTTTAGAAGTCTCTACAAGTTTTGAGGTATTCAATTTAGAGGGACTTTCAGGGAATTTAAAATTTCTTGGACTTTCAGAGACTTTTTAATAGAAAATATAAATGGGATTTTTCTCCCAAAATCTCTCATCCATAGAGAGATTTCTAAAAAGAGTATGTTATTCTTATTTCCCTCTAAGTTTTTCCTCTATTTCTTCCAATTAGGTATTTCTTTGAATCTTTGCTATGAGTTTTCTTCAAATCAGGTTATGGTAAATTTTCACTAGTTGATCTCTATCTCTCCCTCTAATTTCAAAGATTCGTTTTTAAGTGAATGTTGTGAATTCTCATAAATATTCCTCGATATCTCACATTTAACACTGTGAAAAGCATATTTCCTTAAAAAATAAAAAAAAATTCCTCAAAAGTCTTTAGTAAAAGTCTCCACAAATTCAGGAAAAACTTTTACTAATCCCTACCAAATCCATAAAAATTACTTAAAATTTCACAAAGTCCACAAAAGCCACCCACTTAAAAAAGTCTCCAAAAGTTTTTAAAAATCCCAATTGAATACACCCCCCTTAAAAAACTTTTGAAGACTTTCATTTGAAACAGAATTCGCGTAGATCCGATGTGAAATTCTCACATACGAGGTGTTAGTTCCTACAATTTCCCTTTTTTTTCCCATATAATTAAAAAAATTTGAAGAAAGAAAAATTTAAGACCTTAATTAAATAAATAATAATCAAAATTATACACATGTATATGATTCAATATTATTAGTATAGTATACTTTTAAAAATAAATATATTTAAATTTAATTATAAAATTTTATATGAAAATTTTATAATTTAATAAAAAATAGATATTTTTCAAAAAAAAAATGAATGAAAAAAGCAAAATAAAAAATAAAAAATACAAGAATCCAAATTAATTTTTTCATAGAAATTAGAGATAAATAATAAGAGAGAGAAAGAAAGATAAATGAAATATAATCAATAGAATAAATAAATAAATTTTAATCATAGATGCCCATAGAAGGTTAAAGGAAAGAAGGATTGAAAAAAATTTGTGAAAGTCTCCAAAAATCTCGTGATTAACAAGAGACAAATTTTAAAATTTTATATGAGTACTTTCTGCTTAAAATTTAATATTTCAGGGATTTTTATAAAAGTCTCATTAAATTTTAAATACTCAAAAACTTACAGAGACTTTTAAAAAGTTTTAATTGAATGCACCGTAACTTTTAGAGATTTTTTAAAAGTTTATAAAAGTTTCAATTGAATACACCATGACTTTTAAAGTGTCCCAAAAGTCTCAATTAAATACTCTAAACTTTTAAATCTCCAAAAGTCATTAAAAGTGTCAATTAGTTACACTTCAAATTAAATAGAATCATATATGAGTTTTAGAAGTTCTAATGCAATTGGAAAGATTCGAACTTGATGCGAACCTGCGTAGCAACGAACACTACGGAACCTACAAAAAAGCCAAGAATCCAGGTTTTGGATTCAATCCACCATATTGAAATCAAGCAACCAATAATGTATTAAATTAT